TATACATTGTTAAGTGTACAGCTCCTCACTCATTGGAGGCAAATTTTCGCACTCTGCAAAGTGAGCAGCACTCTGAGAGAATGCCTAGAGGAAAGTTATGCCCAAGTTGCAGAGTTTTCCCAAGGGACCAGTCATAGGCTCCTGCTGCCAAGAGCCCTTTTTAAGAGAAATCCCTGGTAGAACAAAGCTCTGATTTGCATCATCACAGTTGTTTTAACCACTAGTTTCCTCATTTGCTCAGTTAGCTTCTGTTTGACAAACAGTTTCCATTTGAAGACATTATGCTGCTCCTCTCCACTCCAGCACCATGCCCATTGCCTTTACTAAATTGGCACCGGAACAGAAACCAGTGCCAAGATCTATGCAAGGGCAGGAGGGACTGAAAGGGAACATGAGGCAAAATGATCCCTTAATTCAAGTGAATTATTGTTACCTTTCTTCACATATTCCTTTTCTCTTCCCTCATTGTTCTCCTTTCAAAAGAGAGGTAATAGGTTCCAAATCAGACCACAAAGAGGATTTTCAGAATCAAGTTAAATTGGAGCACAAGGATTGGGGCTGATGGGAATATGGATTTGCAAGGTGCCAATGTCTGATCTAATTTACATTCATTTCTTGATTTCCAGCCCTTTGGCATCTATTGAAATACAGTTTCATTGTAGAGTACTCTATAATGTATATTCTATATATGTTGTTTTAAATTTATTCAGAACATATAATTTTATATATTTTCTTCTGTGCAAAACCGTATGTGTGCATGAATGGTGAGGTCTATGTGCCAAGTATTTAGACTAGTTTTATCATTCCTCTGGTGCTTCTCTAAGCAGCTTTCTCCAAAGGGCCTGTAACTCATAATCACACGGGCTGTTTGTGAATGTATCTCTCTGGGTCAGAAATTTTGCCAGCCCTGACAGGCACCCTGGACAGCTTTTCAGAAATTTCTTGGTTATTACTCATCCATTAGAAAGGAAGAAGTGATATTTTGCATCAGCAGTTGTTTCTCTCTCTTTTTCCTTTTAAATTACAGAAATAAAGTGCCCATTGTAAATCGTTCACGCTGGCGGACAATATTGCATGCAGATCAGGCAGACAGCCCATTGGGTGGAAATGGTGTGGGGGTGGGAAAGGCCTTTGCGAATGAGGAGATGCTGGAGGGTCGTGAAATGGTTTTAGTCAGGTCGGAAGTAGCTCCTTAGTGGGCAGAACTGCTAGCTGCTCATCTTTTAGGATACAAAAAAGGCTAACCCTTTGCTTCAGGAGTTTCTTATAAGTTGTTTTACTCTTAATAATAATAAAAACATGTATTTCTTATTCTACCAGCATTTTATGTAATTAGCTTATGGGTAAACAGATCTTGAAAAAGGCAAGAGTTTATGTCATAAACTATGAGGTAATAGTTGATGGACTGAGATTTTCAAAAAATTGCCTGTGAACTTAAAAAGTAGAATTTATGGGGGGAGGGAAGGGAGGAGGAAGGGAAAGGGGAAGAAGATGACTGTATTTCATCTCAGTGTTCTTTTTTTAAAAGATTTTCATTTATTTTCAGAGAGAGGGGAAGGGAGCAAGAAATAGGGAGAGAAACATCAGTGGGTGGTTGCCTCTCCTTTCCCCCTACTGGGGGCCTGGCCCATACCCCAGGCATGTGCCCTGGGGTATCAAACCAGTGACCTTTTGGTTCGCAGGCCTGCCCTCAACCCACTCAGCCACACCAGCCAGGGATAATCTCAGTGTTCTTAATATTAGGAGGAATTTAAAATTTCTTGTTTGTACTTTAACTTTAGCATTAACATTACTGGTCCCTTTCTCGCCCCACCTCAGAACGGTCGGGAAACCATGGGAACAGAGAAATTTGCAGTAGAATGGCAAGTTTCCAAAAAACTAACCAAACAGTGGTAGGTGATCTAGTAGGGGGACAGCAAAAGGTGATCCTAAATTCACAATGATTTGTAAGAACAACATTCTTTCTGATAAATTTCTTTTTAAAGAAAAATTACGTGTCTCTCAGAATCCCAAACATTGTTGCATCCATTAAGGGCAGGGAAAAACACTTAAAGCCCTCAATTTCTTATGTATAAATGGAGAAATATATAAACTTGGCAGAAAGATGAGTAAGTGAAGACAAATATTGGAATATATCATGTAATAAGCCATATGTTCTCTTCATTTTGTTTGCTTTGCTTTCATCTTTATTTTTCTGAATTAGTTCATTAAGTAGGCCCTTTTTTTTTTTTTTTGCTGATAGTTAAGAAGCTGGACTAGTAAAGAACAACTGAGCATTCTTCAAGAGTCCCAAAGTTCTAGTTTGTTAACAAACCTCTTGAAGTACATACAGGGCTTTGATTGCTCTGGGCACTCTGGTTGGTGAAGGTGTTAACTGAAATGTTCAATACCGAGCAAAGTGTTTGGCCACAGAACTCGTACTCGATTACTGCATAGGCAAAACTCAGATCAAAATTTCTGTTATCAGAGACTTACTGAGCATTTGTTTTATGTCAGGCACTATTTAAAACCCACACTGATGAGATGAGCTGCTCAGATAGAACTCACAGCAGCATGGCTTCCAACCATTGTAGGTCTCCAGATGAAAACAGTTTGGTGTATAAAGTTTTGCGCCTCCTTGATTGTCCTAAATGAGCCTGGACAGGGCCAACAGCATACACCATGTTCTTCTCTGCTGCTGGTGGCTATTGGGAAAGGTCCCAGAGCTACTGTACTTTTAGCAAAAAGAAATGGTGTTCTTTTCAACGCCATTCATGAGCTGATTTCTTTTTAGTTTACTGAATGCCTTCACAAAGCTAGAAATCATGGAAAATATTTGTGAGTTTTCTTTTAAAAGGGAAAAGGTAGGCAAATGTAGGTTACTATTTAAAAAATCAGTTATTCTTCTGTTCTCTTTAGTAATTCCTTTTGAGAAATATTATTATCTATATTTTTATTTCTATTTCAACTTAATTGGGGAGATAGGAGTGTGTGTGAAGTTTCAGACTTGAGAACTGAAAGAAATGAAAAGTTTTTGTACAAATGTAGAATGCAAAATTTTAATGCATGACAAATGGCCAACTGGGCTCAAAATAGAAAATAAAAAGATATAGTTGAGTGGGGATTGTTAATAATCATTTTGACACTAAAATAAATAAGAAAAAGGAAAGAAAAATGAGAAGTGGGTAGGCTAACCAAGATCTTGATTTATGAACACTTATTTAGCATATGGTTTATAGTTTCAAATTCTCCTTTATTAATAATACATATATATTTACTTTCTTTTTCTTGCTTTACTTCCCTGATTTTAACATATAATTTTCCTCTAGATCTCATGAGGTGAAGGGCAAATAATTTATTTTTATATGATTGACCTATTAATACATATGAGACACCAAAAACAGAAGTAAGACCTGTGCTTTCTCAAAAGAATATAGAAGAAAACACCATTTTAAACCAGTAAATATCTAAAATATATGTGAGGTTGACAAAATTTCCCCTCTTAAATTAAAATTTGCAGATGAGAGCTACCACTTTGTATGGATATATGATCATTTTAAGGATGCTGCCACTTTCCAAAACATTCTGAAATACATTCTTTTGAAATTTTAAATAAAGTTAGTTTTTTTACAAGTCACATAAGAAAATTAGTCTATTTCTTGTTTATACTCATATTACCAACTGTGTATCATTATTTCATTCATTTCATTTTATTCGGAGTAGTTTCCATATCCCAATATCAAAGTATGAACTTGAAATAGTAACTCCATCAAGGAAAAACGAAAACACCACCATATAACTCAGTAATCATTATTCTACCTATATTTCTGAATGCCAAGCTTCTGTTTGTTTAATTAATTCCAGAATATTTTGTCTGTGAAAAAATGCATCGATGCTTCTATTACAAAGTATATATGGTTTCAGGTACCAGTGTTCTTGTACTTCGGGCTAAACTTATCGCTGGGGGTCCTGTAGTTTGGAAAATGTGTTTCTAGGGAACTTTTAGGGAACTTTTTGGTTGAAGAAGAGTGTTCAACACACAGCATTTACTCGTGTGCTCTAAAGAGTGCCTGACACAAAACAGACATTCAGTAAATCTACAGTAACAGAAATTTTGATCTAAGTTTTGTCTGTAGAATCATCAATTCCCATCATTTGGAAACTATGCAGGGTGCATGTTACATGAACAGGTGTTTCCTAACTTGGCAAATGTCTCTTTGATTAACTGATCAATGCATTTGTTTATCCCTGAGTAATTTTGGGTTAGAATATGAGATCTATAGTTAGAGCAGGTGATCACGGATTGGTGAGGACTAAAAAGCTAGTTAAATTGGAACAGATTTTGCCTTATATAAATGGGAACTGAATTTTAATGAAGCAGAGTTTTTCCTGTTTCCTCCCATCATTTTGATTGTTCGTGTCCACTGCTGAACCCAGTGGTATATCTGGACTGTGGATATCATTATTTAATTAGAATGTCTTATAAAATATATCTGCAACAATTTTGCAATAGTTTTATTTTCCATACGCCTGGAGCTCTGCTGCATGACAAAGTTTTGTTCCTTATCAATTAATATTAACCCAATTGGTTAATATTAACCAATATTACATATATACATATATATACACACACACATATACCTATATGTATTTCTATCTCCATCCATCAATGGTAGAAATATCACTAATGGTCTTTCTGAAAAAGAGAATAGGAGGAGGAAAAATGTTTTCAAATCCCAAACTAATAGTTTTTACTGAACAGTTTCTATAAACAAGCTCAAAAGATAACTCTCCCTTTAAATCAGCTGCCACTGTGCAAATTAAATTAGTTCAATAAGTAATCTGATTGTGGCTTGCTACATCATGTAGACTAATTAATATATTATGATTCGAAGAATTCTCTTTATATTAAATGTATATATAATACACATCATGACTGATTTTGCAAAGCAATTTTTAACCAGCTATAGTTGTGATGTGCAGCTCAAAGTTAAATTTGGAAAGTTAACTTTAAAATTATTATTGTGTCTCGGCCTTTTGGCTAAGAGCAAGTGTAGTATCTGTTCTGATCAGTTTAATAAAATTATTAGTCACTTGTGCCAACTTATATCAATAAAAGCTGAGCCATTTAAACGCAGTGGTTTACTTCCTTTAAAGTTTCGCATTATCAATTTAAATTACATTTCATTTTACTAGATGTTGTTAACAGCCAAAGTTTGTGATCTACTTTAATATTATCACCTGAAAATTAAAGTGGTGATGAAAATCAACTTCCATAATTATTCTCCAGGAATGATTCAATGTGGTGGTTATTGTGTTCTTAAGAAAAAGGACATTAATGGTGTTATTAAAAAGGCATTTAAATAGCTGGGCTTAGAGTATCTTACTAACCTTTGAGTGTCTTAGTCAAAACTGTTACTAGATTTTATAAAAATCAATTAGTCTCATCTTCTTAGAAAATTATTGATAGGAAACAAATCACCTTGATCTATTTCAGTGCACGTGATTTTAAAACACACTTACTACACTTATATGTGTATGTATATAAGTATGAAGTGATACGATCAGTGTATACCATACTTTTTATCAAGAAAATAAATCATTTTGGAAATAGAATGCCAGTTTAAAAATTATTGAGTATATCTTCTAAGTGGCAGCAAATTCAAAGGATAACATATTTTGCTTTTCACATTATTTAGATGTTGTTAGGAAACACACCCACTAAAATTCTCTGACTTGGAAGGGAACATACTATGACAAATAGCTTAAGAAAACTTCTCAAAAAATTCAAGTGCTTTCCACATACCAAGTGTTTGAAGGTTGAAGGAGGTACTGTTATTAGTTCTGCCTTTGTGAATGAGGAAGCTGAGTCTTTGAGCATCAGGACATGCACTGAGTGGAGACATGTGGACTGATATACTTAGATATTTTTTGAAGAACCTTTGGTTCCCACAGCACTTTAGCAAAGCTCATACAAGCACAGAGTTCACAAAGTGAGACATGTATTACATTGAGAAGCAAAGAGAAATAAAAAATGTAAAATAAGGCAGATGTCTACTGAAGATGCATTAGATACAGCTGAAATTTTAAAAATAATTTACCTTTCAGAAGTGGTGACTTTGACCTAATTGAAAAGTAGAGTTGTTTTACCTAGTTTGTACTTTTTTTTTGTTTGTACTGTTTTTACTAATCAATTCTGTCAAAATATTGACATGTATGGACTAACTTTAAGGTATGCAGCAGTATGTATCTATGCAAGAGTCATGATTTGGAACATAGAATTTAAAAAATCTGAAGATAAGTACAGTCGTAATTCCCTGTTAAATCATTCTCACAAAGAGTATATCACAACTGTTAACAGTCTTCATCAATATTCTAACAGGTCAAATAAAAATTTCCATGAATTATTTTTACTACCTTATCTTACAGATTTTGTTTAACAAAATAACCTTAGTGAGCAAAGTTAACTTAGTTCTAAAATTATTACGTAGGTCAACCTATAGAAGAAGTACACCTATTATGTTAGAAATATAGTTAACTGTCATGAAAATGCTCAGCTCAACTTGATAAACCACTCCATCCAAGTCTATCTAAAAGCATGTGGTACTATTTATTATCATGTATTATTTCTTTTGCTCAAGCTCCACTTCAAAGAACATCTAAGTATGTCAGTCCAAGTATACCCATTTAACAAATGTACTGAGGCTCAAAGGTATTAACACACATTTTATGCCCTAGTCTGGGACATTGTCATCTTGACCCCTGTATACTGCTGTTAAACACAGAGGATTTACTTTGAAGCTTTCATTTAAGGAATTGAGTTATTATCCTTTACTTGACCTCTGTCCATGGAATATTTATCATGGTGCCCTGTAAAACTATAATGTGTAAGAAAAGTGAGAAAAGGAAGTAATGTATTTGTGATTTATAAAGAAAGGAGGAATAGGTATAAATCAGACTTTTAAAATCCATTCATAGGTGCCTCTCACATAATCCATTTATAATCTCAATACCCCTCCCTAAAATGATTTTTGTGCATTCTTAAAATAATCATTAGTGAAAGGAACTTGAAATTAATCACAACTTGTTGTTTCTAGGATCTATTCTCAAGTGTTGTTTATATTTATTACTGGGAAGAAAAGAGAGGAGCAACATTATTTTTAAAAGTATAAAAAGAAATAGTTTTCAAGCTGTTCCCTTAATGAAGTAGAAATAGTTACCCTGTCAAATTTAATATAAAAATAGTGTTATAAGCCTATGGCATCTATTTATTACTGGAGAACAAAAGCCTTCATCTATTTCCTTTAGAGAATGACATTTTCGTAATTCGCTGCCCATTTCATTTGTTCCAAAGGCCTTCGTGGGGTGACAAATATCCCACAGAAATGGCTACTGATACTTGATAGGATAATGTGCAGCCCCTCAGGACAAGGGCAAAGGCAGCAAACTTATCATCCTTTAGTGTAGCTTAGCATGGGTCAGTAACAGCGCCAGAGGTGACAGAAGATGTTAAAGTGTGGGAAGCAAGAGCTGAAAGCTGTGGGAGGGGAGTTTTTATAGTTTATCCTTTCTTTTGCCAAGAAGCTATGGAGACAGCTTGACTCACATTGTTGATTTGGTTCACTGCACGCCACACGAACTGTTTCTGGAAAAGAAGAGCAAGGGGGAGAAAAATCCAACATTTATGGGTCATTCTCACCAACAGCATGTGGCATTTCAACATGTCCTGTAGGAGGAGGAAATGCATATTTAATATTTTAGCTTCAAGTTCACATTTTAAGAATGCATTATTCTGCTGGAAGGTCTGTGGTGAATAATCAGTAAGACATCACCATTATATCAACCTGATAATTTTGCAGAGAAAGAAGCGTTAGCAGTGTTGTCTTTCAGTTGGGAATTTTCACAATATTGTTTTCTGTGTTAGAGTGGATAAAAAAGAAAAACTACCACTACAGCTCTTCTTATAGTTTTTAACTTACAAATGGTTCAAAAGTGAAGTTCTTTAAATTTATCATTAACATTCATCCATTAAGGAGGATTGATTTGCATGAAATCTGAATAGACATATCTTATTCCCCCCAAAATTACATTGTAGAGAGCTCTCCCTCCGAATATTGTAAAAGAATGATATATACCAGCTGGTCTAGTACTCCTGATTCTATTAAAAGATCATGTGAGTCAATTCTTCTAAACACTTCCCACTTGAAAAAAAAGTAAAAAATAATTCCTCATTAGGCAGGTATCTGTTGTCACGCCTGTCATTGCCTGCAGTGACACTCACAAAAACGTGATGGGCGTGCTGTGCTATCTCTATTGGCACATCTGCTAAAATGATTTCTATTTTGCAATATTAAGGAATCACTTTTTATATTACATGTGATATGAATTAATTTGATTTAAAATTTAAATTATGCAATGCAAACACTCTTAAAGAACTGGTATGATAAAGAACTAAAAATGGTGACCTTGTTTCACAAGCAAGATGCCAACTCCATCTGAGCAATTAATAGCTTTGATGAGCATTTTGAACCATGATGTCCTTTGGAAGAACTGTCAGAGCCTTGTTGAAACTTGTATTTTCTTCTTTAAGAAGTAGAAAAGACCCACTTCTGAATCTTTTCTTGACAAAATAGATAATAAATCATGTTATCAACAAATTATAATGAATATTAAAACTTAAATATGCTCAAGATCTTGTTAATGATCTTTGAGTTTGACATAAACATAAGGAACACTGTAAAGTCTGGAGTGTTTTCTAGTAGACTCCTTTCATTCCAGGCATATCTGGAAAATTACATAATGCTGAACTGCAGGAAGATGAAGACAAACGGATGCCTACTTTGAAATAAGTATGTTAAATAGTTCACATATTTTATCTCTGAAAACCTGGTTGTGTGCTCCTAATAGCACTATTGCTAGCTAAAATTTATATAGTACTTTTTCCATTGAGTTGGAAATTGTTCCCTTTTCAGAGAGAGGTTCATGTTTATTTCCAATGCAGAAGAACTTGTTTTAGTTTTGAAGGTAAATTGAACAAGTGATTGCTTTCATATATCATGTAATTCCTTACATGTTGATGGCTGTAACTTTTCTACTTAACACATTTTATTCCTTACCATGCCTGTCACTGGTTTAAGCAATCTGCGGGTAATTGATTTCTTCTGTAAAACAGATAACATTTGCTTAAAGCTCTTCTGATAGCTTTACAGCCTCTGCATTAGGAGAAGCACTTCCGTCACCACTGGCATTCTTATAAAATATAATTATTATATATCCATCAAAGACAAAAAGAAAAAGGGGTAGGAAAAGGCAGTGCAAATATTTCCTGAATTCAGCGACTCTGCAGTTGTAATACTTCTAGTGCTCACCAAACCACTGCTTACCTTGTTTCCTGGCCTGGGCCATTCAGTCCACCCTCCCTTTGAACTCATTGTTTATTTAAATAAACAAACAAATCTTAGTCTCTTTCAAGTGGGACACTATGCTCAATCCATTTTTTAAAATATTAGGAAATCTAATAAAAAATAGAAGTATCTTTAATTTGAGCAGTGACTATTTCTCAACTGTGATTTATATTTTTAATCATAAACTCAGAAAAGTATATATGTAGTAAGTCCCCTAAGTGAGTACATAATTTGAATACAAGTAAATTCAAAGGATCAGAATTCATATTCTCCCTCTCTCCTATTTTATTGTTTTGCTTTCTTAAGATGAAGACCAGTTGTCACTTCAGGTCTCTTGTCTTTACATAAAAGAGGACAGTTGTGGCCCTTTGTAATGGGTGGTCTGCAACACCAGAAAGCTGACCTGTCTTGGTTTGTGTGTGTGTGTGTGTTTGTATATACATTTATATGAAAGAACAGTATCAAGAGAAAGATAATTATAACAATAAAATGTCCTCAGAAAAAATTATTTGCTGTTCTATGGATCTAATAGATATGACTCGATATTTTCTTTTCCTTTTCTTTTTTTTCCCTTTTAGAAATCTTTATACAATAGAAAACATAATTTTTCAAATCCCAAATGTCAGTTCACTGAAAAGTGCACTGCAAGCTGAATACATAGATAAGAGTGAGATAAACCCAAATGGGACAGTTTGGTTTGAGGTGACAGGAGGTGGTCTGGGTGCTTTGGGTGTTGTGTTAGTTTAGTCTTTATACCAAATATTCAGGAGAGACATGTAACAGAGCAATAAATAAACAACCCAC